GGCGCGATAATAACCGTGGTATAATGTAAATTGCGGTGCTCATGCTACGGGGACCGGTTCGTAAATACCGCTTTTTTATTTTAAAATCCGAGTTTTTATACCTACCCCTTGATATCGTCATCTGGCAGAAGTACAGAACACTTTTCTTTATATGAAAAGAGCATACGAGCAGACGGCTCACCTGCAACACCAGGAGTATCACAAATTTAAGGAAAAATAACGCCCTGTTTTGAAGATTGTCGGGTGGCATTGGTCCAATACAACACTGCTGGCAAAAATATATTCCACAGTTAAATTATCATAAACTTCCAAATAAATGTTCTCTTGAGATTGTGAGTATTATATCATACCTCATATAGCTCAAATAAGTTCTACAAATGTGTCAACTTTAGGTAACTTTTGCTTGTTTGTACAATTTCACTCAATTGACCGCACCCAGAGACTTTAAGTAATTTTTGACTTAGATTTATTGATATTGTTTCTTTCTGCCCGACAAAAATAGAATAAGACAAATAAATAGAAGTAAATAAAAAACATTGAATACGCCAGCTACGAACTCAGCTGCGCCTGTGAGAATGGGATTTTAACAAGAACATATTTAATATAATATACATACTGTCTGTACCTTTGATTCTGTACCATCTTTAAGTATGTATAAAATAGTACATACTTATCTATGGGATATTACAATCAGTTCTTAAATATTTTGACTATTACATCTCTTGATCTTGATAAGACCGTAACTCATACCGCAGCTTTCTTAGAGAAAAATATAACACAAGCTTAAACAAGAATGTAGCGGTCCAATTCCTTTCGTCAATATTAATTGATATTGAAACTTGAAATAGTTTGACGTCGTAGGATTTTTAGGTAAAAAAATGTTTCATTGACCTTTTTCTATTTCTAAACCCATCCATCGACCACCAATGCTAATATCGTAAATGCCAAAAGCTGTAGAGGAGCTCGACGACGCTGGTAGTTAGCGCGTTCGGTTGCGATCGTTGAACTTAAGCAACTTTCGCAGTGGTCGGTTATTGGATAGGTGACCAACAATCTTCTATCTCGGTTCCTCCGTACTTCTGAAGGCACGTTAAGTTGTTGGTCTCGGCTGCATCTGCAGTCGTTAGCACCCGCCAATCCGCATTGTGCCCGCGTGGTGGGTCATGGCCCAATATCCCTATTCCATTTATAGAGAAGGCCTGTGCCCCAGCAATGGGGACATATGTATAGGCTGATGATGATGATGAAATGCCAAAATGTATATGTTACTTCTTCACGTTGTAACAACTGAACTAGAGAATAGAGGATTGTTTTTATCCCGAAATATTTTTAGGTTCCTATGAAATTATCAAACAACTGACTATAACGAGGAGGAAATTGTAGGCGGAAACTATTCGTTGTTGTCGATTCTGGCATGACTATCTAAACCTAAAATTTAAGCCAACAGTGTATCCTTGTCATTACTATACAGAACGAAAAGAAAAGGCTGATGTTAAATTTAGGTTTAAGTTCAGAGAATCATGCCAGAATCGACACCACTACCTAATATTAAATTAAGATTTTGGAACAAAGCAAACGACTCATACTTATGTCAATAATATTTGCTTCCAGCGTCGATATTCTTCGCGTTCCCGGACCAGGCGACGGTGAAGAAGGTGATCAAGGCGCTGCCCAGGGTAGGAGTTGGCATCAAGTACGGCATCCCGCAGACCAGGTCAGCCCGTAGCTTTAACCAAATAATCATAGAAAACAATTCGGTGGGAATTTGGAGGACCATTCCTAACACTTGTTCGGTCCACGTCACGGAGAAATTGCAGCCAACGTCTTCATTTTCTAGTAAAGTCAAAGTTCTTTATTGCACCATGTTCTTACAAAGATATTGAAAAATGAAAAAAATATGAACAAACATGACCCTGCTAAGGCATTTCAAATACTTAAATACTAAAATTTATAATTATTAATTTATTTAGCTAGTAGCATTGCCCTCTTTTCATTCAGGAATACTTTTGGTAACCACAGAAATCAGTTCAGCGGGATCTTACGGGACCATCAGAAACATTGTTCGCCCCACGTCGCGGATAAATTATAGCTGACGTTTTTTTTTATTTTCGAATGGCTATCTACTTCTTTTATTCAAAACTACTACTACTACTTAAATATTTTTAAATCTAAAGAATACTTTTCTTGCATCTCGGAATGCCGAAGATGCGTAGTTAGAATCCCGCCTGAAAGCTGGACCGATTGGATTTTTTTCTACTTAAAATTTTCTATAGCAATAAATTATCACCTGAGAGGGTTCAGCACAACCAAGCCCGTCTCATTGATTCCACATTTGAGAACAATCATAAGAGATATAAAATACACAATAACAATCATCAATAAACAATAATAAACCGATAAGAAAAAAAAATGTATTGAAAGACATAATAACTTGAAAACGACTCAACCGATTTGGCAAATGGTTTATTATGCTCGCAATATACATCGCATCGCAAAATAAAGTAATATGAGTTTTTTATGAAAGAGAAAATGCCGAAGAACCACTAGACAAGTACTAGATAATAAAGTATGTTAAATTCATTAATGTGACATTGAAATAATTGATGTTTTATAGAAATATTATATTGCATGCCGATAAGGCAGAATATGGCTGTACTATACTAAAATGTATCTGTGTAACAACTTTGAAACCTGTTTTCGCGGTAAAGATAATTTGATTTGATTTGACTTTTAGAAAATACGTATTGTAAAGTAGAGCTGCCATCTGTCGCCAGCATACACCATTAAAAGGCTTTTGCGTTGCTTTAAATACGACAGAAGTACAACATCGATATCGCGATATCAGCCTTCGACGTTACAGTAATTTTAGGTAACTCTACCAGATGGCGTTACTTGTAATGAAACTAGACTAATTGAGCCCGAAAAGAAAGATAGGTATACATAGATCTTCAATTCTTGGTATGTTTAGAATTTTGTTATTGGAATAATGATAAAAAGAAGTTAACAAAACAACGTTTTAAAGAATATCATATAGGTAGAATAACTATAACATTAAAATGATTTCTTGAAAAAGTGAACAATTATGAAAACTTTATAAAATTCTATAACGTTTGAGACGAGCATAAAAAACTTAATTTTTGTGAGTTAATTGTAAAGAGGTTTTATCAATTAGTTTTTCGTAGGTAAATCCCATAAAAACAAGTGTATTTTCCTAAAAAAGTGTGAAAGATTATATTTTTTTTTATAAAAATAATGTGGAAGGCATCGCTCAATGTGATAATAGTCATTACAATTTACAATTGGGTCAAATTTTTAATTTCAAAATATTGGAAATAACCTGATATCAAAACTTATTATATAATCTACTGTCTTCTTACTGGTCAGTGCTTGTGGTCTTTAGAATTCTAAAATAATTTTAAAATTTCTATAAAATTCTATAAAATTTACTAGTTGCCCAATACAACATACAAATAGTACCTACTTTAGGTATTCTGCCTTCTCCTGCAATTCGTTTTTAGATAATTTCAGAAACCCAAAGTTTTTTGGAACGAAGTTCCTTAGGGCAGGCTTGGAGGGAATAGGGATTTTGCTGCGCGACCGAACTGAAAAAAATGTGATAGTAAAACCGTAAGAAAAAATCCGTGGTAAAAAGTGCGTGGAATAAAACCGTTAAATGAGACGTGCGCAGGCGCGACAGTCGCATACACAAGCGAGTTTGCAATTTGTGTCGATTCTACATTAGCCGAAGGAACTTCGTTCCTACCTGGTGTCCCACGACACCACATTTTAATTTTTGTAATTATGTCCTACTAACAAGTTTAGGACTGTAAAATTTCCACTTGTCTACCTACTGTTACATCCAATTATATATATGCCTGAAGTAACATGCCGGATACTTTTATATATCCACTACCATGGTGAATGAAAATATAATGATCTACTTTCCCTTGTTTAAAAGAACTTTGGACACACTAAATAGTTTAAACAAAACTGTCAATGGTTCTCTACGCAACCAACTTTTGCTGCTTCGGCGCACGTCTATAACATTCTCTGTGTGGAATAATTGGTTCAAACTTTCAACCCTTTATTATGGACTATCTGTTCAAATTGTATTTTTGCTTGAAGCAAATATAAAATTTCGTCTTATTCACATTAGAATCAGAATCGGTTCAGCTGTTAATTCGTGAAATTGTAAAAGACAAGAAACTGATAGGCTTGCTTTCCTGTTATTCATATCAATATGGACTAACACACTAACGTAAAATCCACGGACCATAGTTGCTATCTAATTTCATGTTTCGTTTTTATTATGCATAATAATCGTTTTTATTAAATAGTCATAGCATACTATAAGCAATTACTTTCATAGTGGGTACAATATAAATGAGGGAACTACACTGACCTGCAAGACTAAGGCCCGTATTACAGAATGGAGAGAGAAAGTGATGTCGCTGTGTGCTATATATAGCATTAGCCTTTTGTAACTATGCTCAAGACTAGATTCATTACTGAGAATCTTTCTATAGTACGGGCCTTAGTATCACATATCTACAATTTCAATATTTTCTAAACTATAGAATTTAAAATATTAAACGTTTTTTCTACAAAGGGTTATCTACAATGCGAAGGAGTGGCACTGCCTTGCAGCTTATGAAAGGCTAGAAAGAATTCGACACATCTGTCAGGCGCGCGGTAGTGTAATGGCCAGTGCATTCGCCCGGATAGCGTAGGGTCTGGGTTCGAGTTCCGTCTGCTGCCTGTCCCGCGTGTTTTTTTAGTAATATTTTCTTTAGATTTAATCATCGAGCAGTACATGCTTAAAAATAAAAAATATAATTTAACGTTTTATAGCAAATTTTTCAGCTTCAGCTTTAATTCTTTTTTGAGTTGTTTTCTTTTCGAAACTATATCTTGTAATACTTAAAAAGTAATTGGAATTTTAAAAGTGTGATACAGAATTTTGCAGGCCAGTGTATTTTGGAAAGAAAACAATGTATTGAAAACAACACAATATTTTTTTTATTCACACATATAAAACACAAATTATTTATTATATTATCCTATAATAATATTATTTAATAATTGCTTTCATCACAGTTATAAGTATTCAAGATCACACGCAATACATTATATAATCACTTAAACTTATATTCGCAAACATCTTTGATTCATAGCTTATTTACTTTATGTAACTGCTAATATCGTAGGGAGCCATAATTCTTAAGTTTGTATATTAAATTTAATTTTGAACTTTATAAAAAAACACATGAAATATTTAATCAGTACAGCCTCCATAAAAACTAAATTGTGATTCTACCTTTGCAATACTTATACGTATCTATCACCCCGCGGTGTATATTTTCCAAAAGTGTAAAAAAAATAGAAAACAGATAAATAAATGTCAATTATACTAAATTTCGAAATACTTTGTACACAACATTTGTGATATTCTATTAATAGATAATAATCGTCACCTCTTAGGAACTATTTAAACAACTAAGGAATGTATGTTTCTCTAATAAAACTATTCAATAAAATTATTTTAAAAATAACTTAAAGTAAAGATCACAAAACAATAGTAACACTACATTCCGGTAACCAACGTTTCCACAAACATTTGTATCGACCGACCCGACGGATTTTTTCCATATAAATTATAATCACATTTACAACATCACAAAGTATTACTCGCGACCAATCAATGTTTTCCAGATTTCTCCTGAACCCAAACTTTGGAAAAGATATCGTTTTTCTCCAAATTCACAGCTGCCTCAGCGCTATGTCTTCTTTGCACTGGTCTTCCTTCAATACCGCTCTTTTTCTCTTTACAACCTACTTCAAGATCAGCCTCCTTCTTTTCTTCATCAAATTGCCTCATGATTTCAGTCAACGTCTTCCCTTTAGTCTCCGGCAAGAAGAAATAGCAGTACGCCGCTCCTAATAGAGCGCAACCTCCGAAAAGGTACAAAGTCCCGTTGCTCGTCAACAAATTCTCCAATTGCGGATAAGTTTTTATATTAAAGAAGATTAGGACGTAAGCACAGCAGGATGTAGCTCCAGACATTACTCCGCGTATATCCTGAGGGTACAATTCTCCGGACATAATCCAAGGTAATTGGAGAAATCCCACCATACTGAAAGACACGTGCAGTAATACGCAAGCGAGTTTCACTAGAGGTGGTCCGTCTAAACTATCACATATTGCCGCCCCTAACATCGCGATTCCCAGTAAGAGACCGGAAGCTGCGGCCAAAGTCTTTCTTCTAAAACTGTTTATCAAACAAGCACCGACCGCTCCCATAAAAACTCTCACTCCACCTACTATAATAGAAGCTGTGAACTCATTAACACTGGTCCCGACAGATTTGAAGAAGTCCACAGCGTAATATAAGATGACGTAAATCCCCGACATCTCTTGAAATATGAAGAACACTATCAGAATAACGAAGGGTTTCATGACGCTTCTCCTCTTGAACAATCCGAGTTTCTGTCGGAAAGTCATTGTTCCTTCGGATTTTCTGTCTTTAGTGAATTCCATGAGCTCTTGCTGGGCCGTGCCGTTGTTTTGTCGCAGCCAAAACATAGCGTTGTATGCTTCCTTCATGTGTCCTTTAGACGCAAGCCATAGAGGTGATTCTGGGACGAAGTACATTAATATGGGCGTGAGAAGAGAAAAACCGGCACAAATGGCGGCCACTTTCCTCCAATGTATGAAAGCACCGAGAGAATACACTACGAATATTCCGGTGGAAACTAATCCTGGTCCTAAAGCACTGAGTACTCCTCTCTTCTCTGGCGTTGTTATTTCCGCCACGTAGATATAGGAAACTGTGGACATACCTGGAAATGAAACAAGAATTGCGAATGAACAAAACTTCTTTTTAGTTTGATAGGATGCCACTATCAACTTCTTTCATCATGTAAATTAGTAACAGTCTTAAATTTATTGATGTTTATTAATGTCTTAACTACTAAGTCAACAAGTTTTACCAAGAATGGAATAAAGAGAATGGGCCATTAACCATCAGTTTCACTACCTAGATCACTGGGTCTGCATAGTGGAACTAATTCATTAATTCCCCACTGGGAGTTTGGGGAAGGGACGATGCAGCCGGGAAAATTGGCTTGATGTGCTTTCCGAAACACTGAAGAGCTCGAAATGATGAATTTAAAGGCCATCTATCCAGTGACTGTAAATTACGAAAGTTGCTTGCTGCCAACTGCCACAAATGCAGACCGAACTTGCCATCGAGCTCTTCTTATGTTGACCAACTTCAATGAATTAATGTTATGTAATATTATCATTCCTTAAATTATTCAAAGTGGTATTTAAACTTTAAAAATAACAAACGACTGAAATGTTATAAACTAACTTAATTAAAAAAGAGATGATCACAGCTTATTCAACTTGATTTAAGAGAGGAAGGGCATAGCGGATTTTCCGCTCGAAATTAAGCACCTCCACCTTACAGAAGACCACAGTAAAATAACACTAGCTTTTGGTGGTGTAGTGTCTCTGTCGTTGAGTAAAGTTCCAGGGTTCCATGGGGTAGGAGCTGAGTCAGGGTAGGCATCGGCGCGAGTGAAAGCTTGTTACTGTAAGCGTCTATACGCTATGGTGGCCGCTTACCATCTGGCGGGCCATATGGTTGATTGGAACCATTTCAACATAAAAAATCTTGACTAGGAGCCAGTTTCGATTCAAAACTGTTTGTCCAGCTACCTATAGTGAAGCCGGTCACGAACCGCCCTACGCACAGAACCGCGTAGGAGTCGGCGCAGGCGATGGCCAGCCAGCCCGGCAGGTTGGGCAGCACGATGGACTGCAGTTACCTATAGTGAAGCCGGTCACGAACCGCCCCACGCACAGAGCCGCGTAGGAGTCGGCGCAGGCGATGGCCAGCCAGCTGCGCAGGTTGGGCAGCACGATGGACTGCAGTTACCTATAGTGAAGCCGGTAACGAACCGCCCCACGCACAGAGCCGCGTAGGAGTCGGCGCAGGCGATGGCCAGCCAGCTGCGCAGGTTGGGCAGCACGATGGACTGCAGTTACCTATAGTGAAGCCGGTAACGAACCGCCCCACGCACAGAGCCGCGTAGGAGTCGGCGCAGGCGATGGGCCAGCCAGCTGCGCAGGTTGGGCAGCACGATGGACTGCAGTTACCTATAGTGAAGCCGGTAACGAACCGCCCCACACACAGAGCCGCGTAGGAGTCGGCGCAGGCGATGGCCAGCCAGCCCAGCAGGTTGGGCAGCACGATGGACTGCAGCAGCAGCCGCCGCCCCGCTGCGTCTACCAGCATGCCGCCTAGCAACGCGCCCACGGGGTTTGATATGACGCCTAAGCTGGCTGGTGATAGAAATTTACAACATGAGTCAGAATTTTATTTGTGAAATGTAGGTTAGTGTTACTACAAGGTATCATTTATTTTTATTACGTGCACTACGTACAACTCGCATTCTTATTTTTTTTAAATAAATCTCTGTCTGACGAAAAAATTAACAATCCCAAAAATAACTAAACTATACTACATCTAAAGAAATTTTTAGTAGAAAAAATTCGACGCGGTCCAGGCAGCAGGCGGGATTCAAACCCGAACCCCCTGCTATCCGGCGGATGCATTGATGGTGATGATTTTATTTCTTGTAAATTTTCTACAGATTTATAAATCAAGCAGTTAAATACTTAAAATAAATACATATAATAAACTGTACTAGTTCATAAACCAGAAATACCACAAATGCGATGCCGGCCTAAGGAGTACCTATGCTCTTTTTGACGGTTTTTTGGTATTGGTGAGCCATTTGCCTACCTAATTACAAAAAAATAAGACCATTACAACAGCTGAGCTATAAAATGTTGTTAAATAATTATTAACCTTTTTCCTTCCCCAAACGTTGAAAATGTCTTGCGCGTTTGTTTGTCTTTCATGACAACCAACGACAGAAGTGAAGGGTCTTTTAGCACTAAAATATCAAAAATGTTAAAATAAGTCGAAAAATACTAATTTAAAACACTGTTTTAAACCATGTTTATGCAAATTCTATGGTTTTTTTTCTTAACTCGAACGTTGTCGTTGAACGTCTGACTTACTTTTTTTGAGGTAATAAGGATATATTTTAATTTTATTGTGAGACAATTTAATTTTGGCTACGCTAATAATATTTGCTTATATTATAGTTTTCTACATCCTATTCCGTCACTGCGTCTGTCATCTAAATACAGTTCGGCTGACACATCTTGGACTGTCTTAACTGTCTAAAATAATATTGAATAGTTTTCTCCACAACTGTTTGTCCAAATTCAGTAACAGTGTCCTTTTATGCGCACACAGTGAAGATGCCAGCCGTTTCATAAAAATTCTAAACATTCGTTAAGTAAGGGTCTGGCCCTATACCTTACAGAAATCTGAGTTCTTTGTGATGGTGAGATGCATTCGAATTATAGGTGGGTGTTTTTAGTTAAAATAACTTTATTATCTTAAAGAAACGATATATCCAACAGAAGTTAATATTTGTTGAAATGTAAATAGCTTTTTTATTATTACTCAAAATACTTTCGTACGATGATTTATCTGGTATTTTATATTAATGGACGAGTCTACAATCTACATTGTTGAAGTCAAAATATTAACTCACGCAATGTTTACTCAGCTATTGATAGTATCTCCTGATTCATTTGTAACTAAGGAAACGTGTTATGCTATGTAGTAGTGACCACGCAGTAACAAAGAAAATTTATCAATAGAAAAGACTTTACTTAATATTCTCCTGTTCTTAAGAGCAGGATATTGTAACAGACACAGTCAGCCCTCCATAATAGATATTTTCAAAAAGTTAATTACTCTAACATCGATTACAATTTTAATAACTCCGGAACTATCATTTGTCCCCAGATTTATCTTAAATAATGAAAGATTTTCGTCGGCGACTTTCTTATAGTGAACTTTTTGTTAGTAAGAACATTTATGTCAGTATTTTTTCCAAGTATTTACTTCGACTCTTTTAGTTCCTCGTATTTTTTCATAATATTCCGGTAATATTCACTATCTTAAAATATACCTACAATCCCTTATATAATTACATGGATACAGCAATGATAAACATTAAACAATAGCAACCGTATCTTGTCTACGATCGAAGCAAAGGTAAAGGAAAAACACCAGTAGCTATAGCTGTTGATGTGGGAATGCTTATTGTAAACTAATTATATCGCTTCTCAAAAATATTTTTTATTCATAAAGTACCTAAGTAAGTAAGTACCGGAATCATGATGAGCGTACGCTCATTTCGTTTAAATAAAATTCTCAAAAAAAAACAAGACGAAATTCGTGTTATACACCTCTATTTACTGATTCTGAATAATATAGTATATTTACTCAAGTAATAAAGCTGTTTCTAGTATAAATATTTGCATTAACAGTGAATAGTTTGATTTATTTGTATGCTTCCAAGAAAGCCTTTACGTTAAATATTTTTCTTGGAAATTTGTGAATGTATGAATGATCCCGATGGTATTGTGGTTAGCACATTCGGTGTGCGATTACAGAGGTAACTTTCGCAATGGGTGACCAAAAATGTATTGATTCCAATTCGATCCCCTCGTATCAACAATTAATATATTACTGTTTCAATAGTTAGTGATAAATTGTCTATTTAATATTATATAAAGTAATCATACATATGAAATAATTATGTATAAAATAGTATTTATGTATTGCTTGTTTTATTCGTAATTATTTGTATCTTCGCAGATGTTCAAAAGTAGGTGTACAGAAAATAAAATAAAGTAGAGATTGAATAACTGAATTCAATAATCCATTGTTACCAATGAAAAAATATAAATTAAGATCGTTATTATTATTTCTTTTTTTATTAAAAAAACATATATGTTAAAATCTAAAGAAAATATTACTAGAAATAATTCCACGCGGACCAGGCAGCAGACGGGACTCGAACCCGCACCCTTCGCTATCTGGGCGAATGCACTGACCAATTATGCTACCGCGGCCCTGACGGCCGCCTCGAAATTAATTTCATCAAGCAGTTACATGCTTACAAAATAAAAATTATAAATATATGTAAATCTGAAATTATCCCTTTTTTACATGTTCGGTCAATATCAAAATAACATAAGTAAAGCTTAATCACATAATATATAAAGATAACAAAGTATTATTTAAAGATGCATTGATTAATTAATATCAGTCGTGTTGTTTGATTGAATTAAACGTAATACATTATTTTATTGATTTCAGTAATTATACAAAAGTGCGGAAATAATAACTACCAACCATAATGATTTAAATTTAAGTTATATTAGCAATTTAATTATTTGTCTTATTAGGTACTTTCTTTTTGAAGTTGGGATTTTTCTGTGCTTATAATCTTATGATACAGAAGGACTTTTCAACTCACCTATCCATGAGCTCTGCTCATATGTAATGTTCGGGTGCTCAAGTGTGTACTGGGGCAGCAGAACTGCAGAGAAGCCTTGGCAGAACCCAACTGATATGTTGATGGATTGCGCAGCGAGCGCCGCCAACACCTGTAAACAAACTTTTTATTTGTAACTCTTAGCGTTTATGACAACCTGGTACATGGCTTCGCACATTGTGCAAACTGTATGAACTGTACTGGAATTTTATATAATATCGATCAAAAATTATACCTGCTGCCGAGACAAGTGTGATGCCAAGCTCATCAGGTAGGGGACTACTTATTTATCTTTACAGACGTGTACGGTTGTAATCTTCCTAATCAAACTCTGCTAGACAAGGCAACAATGTTGCTTGAAGTTGGCAGTTAATTTCTTTTTAGGAACATTGTTTTTAAGGAAATTCGAACATCATGATTTTAACCATAACAACATCATTGTTTAGAAAAATTTTTTTGATGTTTCAAAACATTATTCGAAAAATTATAAATAGCGACAATCTGAAATATTCTATTTACATTTATTGTAATATCCCCGCTACTTTCAAACAGATAAGACCGGCAAAATTATCAGCGATATTTTTGCGACAGCTATTCCGGCCGGCAGATAACCAACTGTTACCGTTATTTAGTTGTCTGTTATTTCGCGGACAATTACAGTGAAGTGGTTCGTAATTGTGATGATATTATTACTGTGATTACTCGTCATCGCGAATAAACACTGGTCATCGTAGTGTTATACAATCGGTAACGTTGCGATAAACGGCTGTGCTTGGCTTTAAAATTGTGTAAAAAAAAAACAATAAAAAGTTAGTATAACTACTTTGATGCCTATTTTTTTCCTAATTTATATATATTACATATTTTATCCATTGACTTATTTTTTATGTGAAATAAATTTATTCCATTATAGTTGTCTACTAATCTTATTAATCCGAAATTAGCAGTATACCGGTTTTATCGCGAAAATAAAACATATAGGGGCTGAAAAGGTATGTGAAATGTTGTATGAAATTCCAATGAAGTAGTATTTTACATATATTGGTAACTCTTATTTTGTCGTAAACTCGAATCGATTCTTTGTGGCAACTTAACATTTGTTTAACAAACCTTACATCGTTCCGGTTGTTAAGTGTAGTGTATTTAAGTCAATTTTAATGTGATCTTGATCACAACAAAAAACATTCCAAACTGAATAAGACAATTTGTGAAATTGTCGTAATATCTTGAAAAGTTCACACCAAAACAGGATGTATATAATACATATTATGTATCCAACTGACATGAGAAGAGAACCGTTCTTAGTAAGGAAATGAAGTTCTTAAATAATGTTGATATTAAGGAAATATCAAATCATTGTATATATATCGTGTGTGTGTATGTGTTATAGAGTAAGAACATAATGTCATGGATAGATAAGTTGCGATCATAAGCAATCTAAGACAACCATAGTTCTATTTAATTTATCTTCTGTACGATTAGCACCAAGTACTTATTTTAAACTACACGTGCTTCATGCATCCCTAGTACTCGCCGTTCCGTAATTACATGACAATCTTGTTTGATCATCATCATCGTACTGTTGCGTTTAAAAGACAAGTAATGATGACATAATTTTAGCCTATCGATCGCCTACTATAGTTACCTGAAAAAGCTTCCCTGTTGATGGATCTTTATTTCTTCATATCTTAATAATCTCAGTTGGCAAAGGGGTTTATTAAAAAAATATCCACCTGATAACTAATTGTAGAAAACGACAGTATAATATTACTCATATTTTAAACTGAGACTAAAATAAATCGTTTAGAATTTGGTTATTCTACTAGTAAATCTATTCCTTAAGATATTTTTTTAAATGATCCTTAAAATATTATAATAAATGATCACCACAAATTAGGAACCTAAAGGTTAGGTCACAAATTGACTATTTTTAGGATCAGTTACTATTTTAATGATAATCTTTTAAATATGTGCCATTGTTTAAAATAAAAACTAAATCAATACATTTTTCTAATAACCATAATCATAACTCACTTATTGGTTTTCTAGTACAGGCACTTTTATTGATTGGTGAGTATCTATTGGAGATTTACCTATTACAATTTGTAAGTAATACTTACAGTAGGATTAGCGACGATTGTACAAACTGTCTCTGAAATTTTATAGTAAATCATTCCAAGTTCACTATGAACAATGCTAACGTGAACACCAAACTGCTAACAATCTGTACACGGTTAATATTCATGATTACTATAGAGAAAAGATAGTATAAAAACTGGATATGGACGTGGTAATAAATATATCCACTTTCTAATATGTTTTGGAGAACGCTATATTGAAATATTGTATAAATCATTCTCCTTTTAAATTCATTCATCAGCTTATAAATAAAGCATAATTATTGATATATACGTTTTATATATTAAAATTTTAAATATTAAGTAAACAAACAATTAAGTTTTCAAACACATGGTAGATAGTCTCTTCTAGGAATTATAACTCCAGCAAACCATGAGAGAACGTAAGTTTGTTGTTGTTCTCTATATTATGGAAACTGACCACAATAATCTCGATAAGACAATTGTCTTCCTTGCATCTTTCTAGTTATTGTAATGTAATTGGAAATATATTACATGTTTTACTTATAAATACTTATTTTCTACAGTACCACATTATAATTTAGTAAAAACATTTTCATATTTAATTTGTCAGATTTTATTACCCACAGATTTTTTATTTATTCTTTAACAGGGTTTCATAAAATTGCAAGAGTTGGATGTTAAACGCAACCTCGACCGTGTAATACAGCAATGGAATTCATGGAGCTTTATCTTCACGAAGTTCCTCATAATCGTGTACTCGTTTCTCAATAACATGTTTGTTTAACTTGTATTTCTAATGGTATTATAATTTACGTCGACACAATTCTAAATGTTTATTCAATTGTTGCCAAAATTTTTGCGGATAGTTATCAACTAGACAAAAACAGCTTGTTGACAGTAAATTGTATGACTGCTTTGTCGTTGTATCTAAATTTTTCCCCAAGTAACCAAATATGTTTTCTATACTTTTTAAGCAGAAATATTTACGTAGGTCATTAACATGAATTAGAATTTACTTCAACATAAGTTCTATGTTTTTACAATTGTTGCTTAAATTGTTACGCACGGTCAACGGACTCGATGAAAATAACTTATTTAAAGCAAATTCTAATGACTTCTTCGTCGTTCTAGCTACATATTTCTTTTGCAAACAGTGTTTGAAACAGAAACATTTTCTTGCCCTAAAATGAATTGTAATTGACGTCTTTAAAAATTGTCATTAATGTTTATATAATGGTTGCAAAATTGTTACGCACGGTCATGGCACTCTTCAGAAACAACTAATGTATTGGGAGCTATTTCCAATAATTGTTTTGTCTCTCTATTAATACTTTTATCTTACAAAAAGTTTATGATTTCTGTAATCAACAGTATAGCAGAAATAAACGATCTGTAAGTTAATCGTAAAGGTCAGGCGTGTGGGCTTTGTTGTTCGATGCAAATCGATCGCTGTAGCATTGGATCTCACGTATCGAGATGACCCCATAAACTATTTACACCAGTTATCGAGACAATACACTAGAGTATATTCGCTCACAAAATACCTTTGAAGCATGTTGTTAATATAGACTTAGTTTTTTAAGACTCGTAGTTTTTTTAGCCAATGACATTTTGCGCAGTATTTCTTATGAAATAGGTTAAGATTTGACATATTTTTGTTAAAATAACGTCAGGATAATTGAACATTAAACATCATATCCAAGTTTTTGTGCTCAGATATCTCTGTGATTTGAATTATACAATATTTTTGTGCTTCTAAAAAGAAAAAAAAAACTTTTTACGAGCATAAAAATATAGCAGGTACCTATGTTTTAATGGTATTGTAAACGTAATGAAAACGACTTATTTAAACCTTACATAATTTCTGTCAAATTTACCTCAATTTATTTCAAGTCTGACCGGCTGTTTGAAATATTGGAAAAAAAATAGTATTGTTGGGACACAGTATTGTGAACTAAGCATTTGCTACAGTAAGTAGTCCCCTTCTTCGCACTAGATATTGTATCTAGGATAAATTATATCTAGGACAAATAAAACTACAGAAGTTCCAAGTATATTATTGACTTTATTTTTTTTACGGATAGACCTTTTTTATACCCCATTAAAGAGCACATTTTAAAATTTTGTCGCACGAAAATATTTTCGAAAATGATAAACGATATTACAAAGGGAGACAAGTGGCACGATAATAATACCTAGTACGTAAATATATATAACGGATTAAATTGTTTGCATGGCTGTCTGTATTGTTAAAATTCCTTTAGCAACTTGCATTATCGATATTTTATCTTATTTGTTTATGCTGACTGAAGTTTCCTTGTTTTGACACTGACCTCATTTGAATATTTAACTTCAACCTTATTCAATACTGTGCAAGTGCTACTATTCACGTTTGTTTGTCAAAAGATTGGTAAGTCTTATTTTATTTTTATTATTTAACAATCAAATTGCTACATAGTTTATATCTATAAATAGCATACTTAGCTTGTATTTCAGCCTTTTAAGGGCCACTTTTTAGTCAATGTGCTACTAATAAAAATAGTTGTCTTGGTCGGGACTCGAATCTATAAAAATTTAAATCATGTATCTAAAACGATTTCCCTTTTTTTGCTTTATTTGGAAAAAGTACAATTTATTTATTTATTTTAGTTTTAATAAAGAAAATTTCCGACTAGATTTTTTTCTATAAAGATGGTAGGTAGTACAAGAAATTCGATCCTTGCGTTATGAACCCAGTAAGCGTAACGGTCAGTGCAGAGGAGATGTCATTGGCTATTTTTAGGGTACCGTACCTCGAAAGGAAATAACGGAACCCTTATGGGATCGCTCTGTTGTCCGTCCCTCCGTCTGTCAAGACCCTTTTTCTCAGGAACGCGTGGATATCAAGCTGAAATTTATATCAAATACTCAAGTCTACTGTCCCTTGGAGCTGTAAAAAAATCAAACCACTAAGTCAACGCAAACAAAACATACAGCCGTTTATGCCGCAAATTAACGCAAATTTTCGAAA